TCTGACTGGGGTTTTGGGTGCAGAGGAACCAGATTCCTCCTCAGCTGCAGAGGGTTTGGAAAGAGGGGAGGTGAGGGAATGGCTCAATGTGGGTGTGTGGGTGAAGTGTCTCTGTGCCTGTCCTGGTGTGCTCTGCGTGCAGGAAAAGTCAGTGTGATATTGAACGTGCTGGTCTTTGATATCTCTGTGGCTCCTATAAAATCCTCTGCAAATTGAATTTGTGGCACAGCTCCTTATCTCCTGAAAGGAAGATGTAACAGCATCATCTTGTGTTTTAGCCAGACACTTTCCCTCAACACTTCCCCATTTCTACACTGAGGGAAAAACAAATGTTGAGTCTTTTTTTTCCTCCTGTTTGAAACCTTAAGAGCCCTTCACACAAAGCAGCTCAAGTGCAGAAGAATTAATTGGGGAAATTAGGTTGTGCTGTATTCCTGGCATTTCCTCAGAAACGGTAATTGCCCTAATTCTCCACCCTGTCAAGACCTGCATCCGCACCCTCTTTTCTCCCTCCCCTTTTTCTCAATGTCTACCTGTTGTTCTCCTGCTTGAGTTGCTGTTTTCATGCTGTTGCCATTTATTTCATTCCAGTAATGAGAGGGATGTGGCAGGTGAAGAGCTCTCACAATCTGGTGACATCTTCTTTGAAGCACAGGCACAAAAGAGCAGTTTGTTTTTTGGGAAATAAAAACTCCCTGTTCTGGTACTTGACCTCCACGCTCACCTCTTCTCCTGCTCAGGGTATGTTGCTGCTGTCATTGCAAGTCATTTGGCTCAGAATTTTTGTTTAATGCAGTCTCAATATTCACCTAAACACTGACCTCCAGCTAAATCCCCGTGTTCTCCCCAAACCATCACATACCTACTGAGAGCTTATCAAACTTACCATCTTTCAGTCAAAGCTCAGCCCCATTCCGAGGCATTTGAATTGAGGCTTTTGATTTCTCCCAAACATCAGGCTGAGATCCAGAGGGCTAAGAGTTCAAAGCCTTTCATTTTAGCTTCCTGATGGTGTTTAACCTTCCATTTGCAGAGGTCAAAGATGTAGCCAAACAGGGAGGAATTGTTTGTTGTTCAGTATTTCCCAACCTAAAACACCTGAGGATGTATATGAGAGGTTTGGATTCAACAGAGATGATTCTTCCAGTCCTTGTCCCGGCTGACTGGACTTTGGCTGCTCTAAAAATCTGTCCAGGCTGATCTCTGCTTTCCTGGGATCTGGGGAGGGTCCTGGGAGTAACCAGTCAAGTGCTGGAGTCACCACTGGGGTTCTGACACCATTCCCATAAGTTAGAGTCAGTTCAGTTCAGAAAGCTGGGCTTGTTTCTCAATGCAGCCAAACTACCCAAGCCTATCACTTCTGCTGTAAAAACTTGAAATAGCAAATTTCCTGCAGGGAAGTTCAGGAGACCTTTCCTTCAAAGCAATTCTCTTTGCATAAAACTTTACTACTGAGGGCAGGATTCTTTCAGGAACTATTTTCAGTGTTCCTTGGCTGCAGCCAACAGATCTAGAGAGGCAAGAGAAGCTACTTGTGATCCCCATCCATCCTTGAGTAGTTTTTCCCCTCCCCCTGACTATGAAACTGTTTTTCTTTCCCCTGTTTTAATTTGTTTTGTCCAAGTGTGGTTCCCAACACCTGCTAGAGGCTGTCTGCATGCAGTGTGCTCGCTTCCTCCTGCTGTCCCCTCCTGGAACATCCCATTAGCCTGAAAGCTGTGACAGACAAGGAAAAGAGCAAGACAGATTGTCCCATGGTGGGGATCCATCCAAAATGTGTTTCACTGTGCTGCCACCAGAAACAAGGAAGGATTTTGTACATAGTAGGTCAGAGGCACTGATGGTTCTTGGTATTACCAAGGTGGATAAAAATTTAAACTGCATTTAAATTTAAACAGATTTAAACTGTAGCTAGAGCAGAAGAAGGTAGAGAACCTTATGCCAGCATATAATTCCAGCTTCATTATTCCAGCACAGGTAGACCAGAAAGAGTGTGGGTTGTGAACTGTTGATGCTTTGGGAGGAGCCCTGCCACTTAAGAGTCCAGAGAGACTGGAACGTGCAAATGTAAAACCCTCCCCTCTCATCCTGTCTAGGTTATTAAACCCATTTCCTCACTGCAGCCCAGCTGGCCACTGGGCTCCTCCTGCCTTCCCACCTGCAGGACCATGATCTCAGCTCTCCTTTACCATGGGTGCAGCCAAGAGATCTTTTGTGTGGTGACACATTGATCAGGAAAGGTGGGGGGGACCCCAAACCTCAGTGTGATCAGCAAAGAAACTGGAGGCAGAGTAGTTATAAGCCAGTTTAGTGAGGTCATGGATAAATTATGATTTGCTTCATGACAATTTGAAGGCCTCCCTAAAAAGATTAAAATGCAAGTATCTTCATCAACATCCCTAATTAAGATGCTTGCATGGAAGGAAACCACTGCTTTTCTTTTTTCCCTGCTGATGCCTGCATGGTCAGAGTTTCTCCAGGCTTTCCCCTCCTGATCCCCCCCAGTTTCATAGTCCTGCCTCTGTCAGCCCCAGTGAGCTCCTTCTCTCCCCCAGCTGGATGGAGAAAGCCCTTATTTTCAAGCAGCTCTAATACCCAGGCTGTTTAGAGCTTGGCTGTCAAAGAGCGTGCTCAATGTACAGTCAAGGGGCAACGATGCACAAAATTGCACACACACACACAAAATGGGAATCTTTCCTCAGTGCGTGTTGGGCTTTGAACACTTAAGTGATTCCACCTCTCTCTTCCCCATCCAATTATGTGGGTGACACATGATAAGATTGCTAAAGGAGTTAGTGAGGGAAATCTTTATACTGCCTAATCAATAGTGTTCTGCTCAGCAGAAGGCATCTCCCCACCCTGGCCTCAGCCATGCCCCTGTTTGCCTTCTGAAAACACAAGTTCACCTCTCTATTTGGAGTGTGGAGACCAAGAGTTAAAGCAGCAGTGTGTCTGTTGAGGAAGGTTGTAGCTAAAGAGTTTCTTTCTTCCTTTAAAAAAAACAAACAAAAAACAACAAAACCAAATCCATAGAGAGAACCCTGCAAAGCCACATTTCAGGGTTTTTGAGATGTTTGCTGTGCAGGCCAGAGGGACGTTCTGCTGTATGGTCCTTACGGGAGTGGCCAAAATATTATAAGCAAAGATATGCTGGGTGATAATTTTTCTGAGCATCACTGAGGCAAGATGCCAGATTTTATGGGCCACTAGACAGATCCAATATAGCAAATCCTCTGTTCCACTGTGGATTCTGAGACCAAATTATCAATTAATGTGAAGCATTATAAAATCCAAATCCCTTTTAGTTCCCTGCAGTCATTAGTGACAAGATACAACATCTACAGCTCAAATGCTTTGCCAGCATCCCCTGGCAGCAGGGCAGAAACTTCACTCCTATTTTTTTCCAACATATATAAAAAAACATATGAGATCAGTGGTTTTTACACTCAAATTCGGCTGCCTCTACATATTTACTTAAATGGAGAAATAAATCAGGTTTGGGTTACTCTCCAGGTTAGTTATTTGTTATTGGAATAAATGCATGGTAATAGATCTGACAGAGGGAGATGTTTCCCTTTCAGCTCTGTGTTTGAGGTAGAATTTGCTTTGTTCTGCACTATATTATATTGATGTTTTTTCCCCTCTGCTGGATGACTTCATTTGCTCTGCTTCTTTCCAACGTCCGTGCCTCTGCCACAGCTGGCTTTAGGATGCAGTTTTATGCATAGACTTCTCTTTTGTTTTCCCCCGACTGTAACACAGAGGCAATTTAAACAACCAGCATGAAACAATTTTCTAAGCCTTTCCCCCCACAGTTTTCCACCTTTTTGGGAAGGGAGGTGAGTCAGTCATCCAATGGGCAACTCCCCAAGCAGAATAAGCTGCCAGCTACATTCAGCAGCTCAGTTTCCACTGCTGGTGCAGGGTGGGCAGGTGCCAGGGCAATGACCAGCTGGACACACCCTGAGGCCATATTTTGGGTATTCCCCAGGCAGCTTTCAGCCTGAGTTCCTCAGTAGCACAGCCAGAAGTGTACCCCCAAAACACTGTGTTCACCAACTGCCTTTCCATCTTGGGAGTTTGTCCCAGTGGGAACACAAACATCTCACTGGAAAGTCAGCAGACTTTATGCCTGTCATTACTCTTAATGTGCCCACTGAGATCTCTACCCCCTTTTCCTCTCTCTCATTACCCAAATCTTTCCTGCTTTGATGCAGAAGAAAATGTAGTGCTGTGTTTCCTTCCCCAGAATTTTGCTTCCCCTGTCCCTTTTTAAACTTCAGTTTTCTGAGTGCTGGCAGGTTTGTGGGTGATTTGAAGCTGTGAGATCAGGTATTTTCTTCCCCAACCTGCGACAATACTGATGGGACAAAGACTTTTGGGCCAGGGTAGGGTGATGTGCAAAGTACTTCACTGGGACATTTGGCCAACAATACCCTTAATTCTGGCTGGCCTGAGCTTGTTCAGTGGAGACATCAGGCCTGGGCCTTATTCTGATGGCAGTGGCAGATGAGTCCCTGCACCGTGCCCAGGAGGGCTGGCAATGGGCAAGAACCAGGATGCTGAACTACCAGATACAGAGGAAGTGCTCAAGCATCCTAAAATTACTCTTGTTTGGAGAAGAATTCTGAGTCCCTCAAGGGATGACATTCTGTGTGACCATTCCATGTGGCCTCACAGTCCAAGGAGAAGTTTCAGGAGGCTCAGTCCCCCTTGACTCTTGCCCAGCTCACCCAGCTCTCTGCACTGGTGCAGGTGATTGTGTGGGGTGCCAGGTGGTGCTCACAAGGGCCAGAGGGTCTCACCTGTGCCATGCCCTCGCAGCAAAGGTTGTGTAGCGCTGGGATGCTGCAGCTAGTGAAAGACTTTTGGTTCAGTTAAAGACACACCCTTTCCCTTCTTGTCCCCTTGCTTCATCCCCCCCATCCCTCCCTCCCTCTCTCACCCTTCCCTTCTCTTTTGTTTGTCTCCTTCCCTTGTTTTCACCCATTCACTGTCAGGAAGGGCCGCGTCTGAAGGGCCAGTTCAGCGCAGCGTGGCAGCGACAGAGACTGGCACCGTCGGCAGCTGCAACAGTGAGTGGATCCCGAACCCTGGGGCAGCTGGAAGTGGGGGACTGGTGCTGCTTGGGCATGAAATGACTCGTGGGTTGAGTGGCTTTGGGAATAGGTCGGGACCTGTGCGTTTGGCAGTGAAGGGGCTCTTGGCTGTGATGGGAACTGCACACGTTTCTACTACAGCCACTCTCGGGGGCTCCTCTGGATGGTCAGATAATATGGGTTGAATGCAGAAGTCCTCAGTGCCACCTTCCTCTGTGGGTGTCCAGGGCTGTGTCTGCACTGGTGGGCAGTGTGGGCTGTCCTTGGCCTTGGCACCAAGTACAGTATGGTTTGTCTCTGTGCAGCTAAAATATCCCATGCCTCCAAGCAGGGTGGCATTTTCACTGCTCACTGGGACTGTCCCTGACCTGTGCTGTCCTCTCAAGAGCTGCTTGGACAGTCAAACTGGCAAGGGCCAGACCATTTGAGTGGTTGGATTGTCACATGCCAGCCCTGATGCCTTTTGTGTGGTCTGGACACATTCTGGGTGTCTGACCATGTGTCTACAGCTGTGATTGAGTGGATATCACCCAACGCTTCCCACTGCTGCTCCCATCCCTCAGCCAGAGGAGAGGCAGTGAGGGGTTGCTGTGAGTTTGAAGCTCTGACAGAGCAAAGGACTTTGGTTCTGCCAAGGGTGTGGCAGCCACATGAGCTGTGTGAGCCTGCTGAGGGTTGGTGACACCTCTGTTTCCCCTGCCCTCCCTGCCTCAGAGCAAAGCCAGCATCCTGTGGTGCTCTCTGCAGGACCCTCAGCTCAGTGTCCCCAGCTGTCACAAGCCTCCTCCAGGAGGCTGCAGGGCTGCTGAGGCTGAGCTGCAGAAGCCTGAGAGAGGAGCAAATATGCAGCTTGGTTGTCCTGTGGGATTCTTCTGCTGGCGCACAAGGAAAAGCTCTGTTGATTCAGAAAGTTGGGGAGTCTTTGCTTGAGTTTCTTTTGTAAGTGGAAGGAGCTAACCCACCCTAAGACACTGCACAGAGCAGTTATGACCCCTCATGGCTTCAGGCAGGAATGTGATGGCTTCCACACTTTATTTCCCAATAGCTTCCCTATGCCAGCAGTCCCAGAGATGAGCATAAATATTTGCAAAGTAGGCAAATATGGGATAAATCACCTGGGTCGTTACCCCAGCCTCCCTGGGGCACTGTGAGGGGATCTGTTTGCTTCTCGCCAGGTGATGCAGGATGAGCTGTCCCACAAGTGTCAGGACCACTCTTCCTGCTCCAGAGAATGCCTACAGCACCTGAGTGGATCTTGCAAATCCTTCCTGGGGTTTGTGATAGAGCAAGGCTCTGGCACCTCCTGACTTGTTGCTAGAACCAAATGGGAGTGTGAGTTTAGATATTGCTGATTTTGCAGGGGATATGTCAGCAGATAAGAAGATTTGCCACTGAAAGGTGATTTTGTTACACTTATGCCTTTCTGAGCCAAAATTGAATTGTGGGGTGTGGATGGGAATTTAGTTCTAAGCACTGATGTAATTTTGTATCCTTGGCCCTGAAGGCAGTTTTAAAAAAAATTATTTTCCCCTGTGCCCTGACACTATTTTGTTGCCTTTGAATCATGTCCTTACGACAGAACAGATACTGGGGTTGACCTTTGCAATGTGACATAATAATATGTGACTTCTTTATAGCTCTTTTCATTCAAAATGCCTGGCACACTATGAATCTGATCTTGCAACCACTTGCCACTGGGCCTAGCACTCACTGCTCCAAGCAGTCCCTGGGGAAGCCAGAGGAGCACAGAAGTGCTACACCTGGTATTACTCGCAGGATCAGGCCCTGGAGAAATGTAGCACTTCTGTGAATAACCACATTTTGGAGAGAGAAAGCCTTATCCTGTCATTTATCATTTTTATTTGCTATCAGAATGCCATGCCCAGCACTAACATGACAGCCTCCCCTTGGCTACAGTGTCATGGCAGGTGATGCTGGGGAAGTGTTCATTGCTATTATCTACCACCCTGTTCCTTTTTTAAAATTATTTTTTCCCAGTTCTAAAAGCCTGTTGATTAATAAACTCCTTTAGCTTATCCTGCACCATTTAATCCTGCAGAAATCACAGCATTCTATCTTATTAGCAAGTAGGAATTAAAGAATTAAAACCACTCAGGGGGAAAAAAAGAACGACTTTCCCTGGGCATCGCTTCTGAAAAAACTTTGCCCTTGTACCTTTAAAAGCCCCAAGCTCACCCCTGAGTACTTGATGAAGGATGGGAATCCCAGATCTGTGAATGCTTGGGCTGAAAACTGCTTTGTGCTCTGCTATGCCTGTTTTGAAGGGAGAGCAGAGCCAGGTGCAGGGAGAAGAGTGCATCAATCCCAGACCTGGACTGTGCTGCAGGTCCCTTCCCTGCTACTGATGTCCTCTGCCACCATAGGAAATTCCATTAGCTCTGTGGCTCAGTTTGGCATTGTTAGAGAGTGATCCCTGTTCGTGCTCACCAAGGAGATTCACATGAAAATAAGATTGCAAGGGACACAGTCATTACAATGTTGGAAAACAGGTAAGTAGCTTAGCAATATGTAGGGAGTCTGTGAGCTGAGACATTTGAGTTATGGGTTCACAGAGAGTGAATTTTGGGAGTCCTCAGTGGCTGGAAAATGCAAAGAAGGAAGCAGGTAGGATCCTTGCACCCACCTCTGTCTGGTTTGCTCAAGATCTATAGAAGAGAAGTGCTCCACCCTCTTGTTGATGAGAATTGGCTAAATCTGGGGATGGAGACTCACTAATCATCATCAGGTACCTACACGTTTCACCACTGTTTGCCATCTGCACAGCACTGCATCCCCACCACACCCTTAAAAACTCCTTTGAAAAATTACTTCATTAGGAGTAAAGAGATCTGAAAGGGATTCCCTGGATCATCAAACCCAATCCCCTGTTGCATCAATCATATCAGATTTATCCTTTTCATAATCAAGCACCACTATTAAATGTGCTCCTAAGGGGAAGAAGACAGTCCCAGAGTCTCATTGCTTTAAATCCTAGCTGCCCCTGATTTCCAGTCTATGCTTAGTCATGGCCCATTTGTTAAACAGCAGGTACCTGGCACAGAAGCAAGAAATTTAACACAGTTTTATTAAAATAACCACCCAGAAATCCTCGCCGCAAAAAAATGCTGAGGTTGCAAAAGAGAATTTGCAAGGTCAGGTAATGATAATGGGGAGGCCTGAGCTCACTCTTGCCTCTGCCTCGTGGAACAGACTTCACATAATCGCCTGCCGTTAAGCCTGAGTGATCCAGGTGAGGAACAAGGCAAAAGTACTCACAGAACAAAGGAAGCTTTTTGCTATTCTTCGCCATCATATTCATTGTGTAACCCTCTGTCTCTCTTGCCAGGTGTAACTAACGCTGAGCTCAACATTTGGCTATTTTCTTCCTTTTGCTGACAGGCTTTTCCCTGCCATTTATAGCTTCACTGTACGAGACATTACCTGTGCAGCATTTTTGAGAAGTCAGTGAATTCACAGAATCATGGAATTGTTTGCATTGAAAGGGACATTAAAGACATCTAGTCCCCGTGCCCTGCCATGGGCAGGGACACCTTCCACTGGACTAGGTTGCTCAAAGCCTCATCCACCCTGGTCTTGAGCACTTCCAAGGGTGGAGTTTCACTGTCCTGTTTTGCACATTAGGAGAGGAATTCCATAGCTCTCAGCCTTACCAATCCATGGTGCTTCAAGGGCAACTTTCGCCCTGCAAAATGCCCCTGCTTTTTCCAGTGCAGTCTGATTGACTCCAAACCATGCTAGTGCTGCCCAGGCAGAGGAAGGTGGCTGGTGCAGCAGCCTGCAGCATGCATTATATGCCATGAAAATGATGGGATGCTCTAAACCCATGATTTGTCCAGTTAGTTCATCTGAATGCACAATGAATGGACAGGGGGAGAAATTGGTGAGTACAGGCTCAAGTGTAAAAACTCAGTGTTACCCATGAGGAGCGATGACCCAGCCCAGCTGTGACCCAATGGCACATGGAGGTGCTGCTTAGCTCAATCCACTGCTGCACATGGCCAGAGTGACTAAAGAGGAGGGATCCTTTGCCAAAAGCGGGTTTGGAACTAGGACACTGCAATCTCATGTTTGCTTATTTAACTTGGCAGGTATTCAAGTGAAACAGGCACGGAGGGGAGGTATCAGGTACCCACGTGTAGGATTTTAAGTTTCTATTTCAGTGCTTATGCTTGGATAAGAAATGCAAGCAGACCCTCTCATCCTCCTTTTTCTTTTTTTTTAAAGCACTATTTAAATGTCATAATAATCATATAGTGCCCATCTTAATGTGCTGAACAAATTAAAATATTTTATTAGTCTATAATCTGAAAATCATTACTGTGCTTACCATAAAAAACTGCAGGTCTTCAGAGGGAATGATGTCAGTGGGTCTGAATTGAATACAAATATATTTTTTTTGCCATGAAGATAGCAGGGGTCACACAGACAGCCCCCAGCCCCAGGGCAGCAGGCTGTTAGAATGGGAGGGAATTAAATGTATCTCACAGTGGGGAGGGAGAAAATGATCTCCTGGCTGATTTTCCTGGAGTTTTGCAGGGTGAATGCCAGGGTCTGTGCCTGGCTGGTTGGGATGGTTTCAGAGGAAAGCATTGGTGCTGTTCACACCCACCTCCCTTGCAGTGAGGGTAAGGAAGCGGTCCAGACTGCTCATCCCCATCATGCTCGAAACCTCTGGCTCCATCCTGCTAACACTGAAAGCACAGGTGCCTGTTCCACTCAGGCATCCACATGCCCCTGGTGCCCCCTTCCTCCTGCAGATGGCTCTGGATTTGTCTCCCCAAATAACTGCTGTCAAACAGGTGGGAGACAGCTGCATCCAGCTCTAAGAAAGCAGCCCATTCCCAGTGTCCCTGGCAGCTGGCTCCTGGAGAGGCCAGGTGACACTGGACACTCCCAGAGCAGTGGCTCCTGAGTCCCTTGTCCTGCCCAGAGCCAGTGGACTTCTGCTGGTTATTCCTCACTGCCTTGGGTGAGTGTCAGATGGTTCAAAGATTAATTA